TCCTAATTCAGACAGATAGTGGCTGCCTCGTGTGTGTTAGTGTGTGTTCCCACTGGTTGTGTGTATCTGGTGATCTAGTTGTGTCTGTGCTCTTGCTAAGTGAGCAACTTCCTGAACTCTGGCAAATGGGATATATATTTCTAGTGGGATAAATGATTTATAGACATATTTAGCCTGCAAACACACAGAGGAATAAGACTTATGTTCTAATAAGTTTCACGGAGTCCTGCCAACACATCTCACACCCAACTCGTCAAGACCTGGTCAGCGGCCCTGCGCTGCAACCTATGACGGTTTAGGTACCCTTGGTGTCCGTTTCCGCTCATTACGCCTACAGTGTCTTTTCACAACTAACTTCCATGTTCCCAGAAAAAGTGCAGTTTCCAATAGTTACATGTATACGGTCTCTATTTAAAATTAAACTTTCAACGTAGGTTTACAAAGTTTTTTATTTTACTTACGCAAGAAGGCTACTCAGTTTAGGTACTTAGGTTTAGGAAAAAATTGTGGCATGGTTACCACTTAAGTAGGCTTGTTACGTAGCTTGTTAAGTATACAGAAGTGTAATAGAACTAAGGTACACTAATTATAACGCTTCACACTGGACTCCTACAAGTCCTACGTGGACTTTCTTGGCCTTCATACTACATCGGTTGCTCTGACCATCTAATAATGACGCGGATGGGTTAGAGTTAGCTGAAAGCCTGGTGCTTCTCATACAGATGCTTAAGGGTGCCTCTGTGCATCGGTATCATTAGCCGAGGGGCACTGACCAAGAGTCCGTATTTGACGAGTTGGGAGTGATATCAGGTTGGTTTCATAGCCGACTAACACCAATACATTTCTGTCCAAACATAATTCTATACAAATTAACAAAAATAAAGAACTCCAAAATAAAGGCAGATTAAATAACATGTACCTGTGTCCCGGGCTTGATCAAGCAAACAATAGGAGGCTAAGAAAATTAACCAGAAAAAGTAATATTACACGTTTAAGACAACACAGCAACTAAAAACTGAAGATATATGACAATATTTCGTAGAATTTATGAAAACACATTGAGATGTGTAAATTGGATGCTATTTTCTGACACTGCCCCATTTCTAGACCATCTTTTACCTCCGTAAAGCATGACCATCTTATACTCTGATGCCTCCCAGATGGGCGCTGGAGAGGAATGTGATGGGATAACAATGAATGGAGGTGAAAGTGTGAATGGCAATGTTTTTGTCCAATCTGTGGCAATGTTCTTGCGGTGACTCTTACCTCCCAAGTGGTAGGTTCCTCCTGTGGTGATGGTGAGAGGTGAGGTGGAGCGCACAGCAGACGCCTCCTCGCCATCTATTGTCAACATGGCAAAGTTCTCCTTGGCGACCAAACGTATTGCGTGCCATTGGCCGTCGTTAAGGCCTGAGCCTGGAGGGGGACAGAGATCCACTTTGACGTCAGTAAACACACACTGCTAAAGTTTCTTTGCACAAGTTAGTTTTTGCTGACTGACTTCCTGGAACAGAAGAATTTACAATAAGACTCCAATAATTTCAAATAACTGATTCCTACAAAAAAAAAAGAAAGAATAAATCCCAATCCAAGTCTGATAATGATGCAGGCTTTTTATATATACGTTTTTTAAAAGGATAATGTCGAGGACGTGAATAAGATTTAAGGAAAAAGCTACTGGGTGACTCATCATGTGTATGTGGGTGGTGAAACAAGGAAATACAATTTATGTCTGTGATGTGTTGCTATCTCTCTCCATCTACATTGTTATACAATAGTTTTTGTCCACAATAATAGCACCTTTGTGCTTTTTCCGTTCATCTCAGCAGACTGGCGAATGTGTTTTGAGACACATGTTAAGACATGCTCAGCTGAGGATTATGTTCCATCATGTGCCTCAACCACATCTTTTCTTCACTTCTACACGTATCCTCATGAAAGCCAAAGCTCCCAGATTCTTCGTCGCTTCTCTTTTGTTCTCTCACTCCTTCTTTCTCTCTACCCCTCTCCAAGCCGAGTGCAGCTTCCAGTCTCAAGGCCCTTGTCTCAACTCCATTAACTCTCAGAGAACCCCGTTTACGTCGGAGTACCACAGTGTACGTATGTGTGTGTGCGTGTATCTGTGTGTGTTCTCTATCTGCGCATGCAAGCTTTGTGCACTCTATGCAAGTGTGTTCAAGTCTGTATTGTGTTGCGTTGTCTGCCTTTGTCAGAGTAGTTTGTGCGTGTTCGTGCATGTGAGTTTTGTGCTCTCCTTTTCTCTCTCTTCCCTTGTAGCTGTGCTCCATTAAATATGAGTGATGTTTTGGAAAGGGACATTACTACTGGAGCCGAGAGAGAAGCCAGCTCACTCTCATCACCCTGTCCTCTATACATCACCTCTTACTGACACCAATCTCTATTCATCCTCCCCTCTCTGTCCCTGATTATTTCTTGCGTTGCTTACTTTGTCTTTATTTCCTTTCCTATGTTTCTGCATTTCACTTTTCGCTATACTCTTTCTATCTTCATGCTCCTCTCCTCTTGTGGCCATCTGCTGCATTGTCTACCTTTTTCAATTTGGCTCCACTCACTGCTTCACTGACTGTAATACATCGATAGTAAGGACACAGTGTAGTAAAGTTCCAAGGTACGGTCACGTGCAAATTGATTTCAATTGATTTGAGTCCATTTACTCATGGTTCTGCATGCACTTCAATACACATGTACAATAGCTTGCTGCATGCGCAGTACATTGGACCCCTGTGTGTAAGAGAGAGTGTGTGTGTGTGTGTGTGTGTGTGTGTGTGTGTGTGTGTGTGTGTGTGTGTGGCAGTTTCTGCATTTATCTTCACCATCTATGAGGCACACTTTCACATTGTCACATTTCTTCCCAGAATGCACATGGACACCTTGGCTTTCGAGTCAGTAGGATGCACTAATTAATCTCTATCAGCAGGGTGTGTGCACGTGTTAGTGTGTGATAAAATAAGTGCCAAGATGGCCACCTGTGGAGGTGTGTGACGGCTGTGGCCTTGTTCAGGGCAATCCCGGTTAAATATGCACAAACACACACATGCAACACACAAGCACACACACAACAGGACACACATGAACGTGGTTATGCATAAACATTTCCACTAGCTCTGTCAGGGAATAAAACACAATATGATACAACATTGCATTGTTATTGTGTTTGGAAGTCATGAACTGAAATGTAATATCGGCATCAAAATTAGAGGATAGCGTCTGCTTTGTCTGAATGACTTCAAAAAAAGCCAGTTCTGGTAGAAAGAGACCTTGATGTGCTCCTTTACAGGCAATCTCATTTCTGACAGTATATTGGTTTTGATGTAATCACTATCAAGCTCCCTGCTTCATCCCGTCCCTCTCTATAACCTCTTGAATGTAATGGAAAATAGATACTGTGTAACCTTGTGTCCCCTCATCTGTTTTACATCACCTGCAATAGCTTTGAATGATGAGCTTATCAGTGATAGCAGTGTTATTGAATCTTCACACTCGCTGCTCCACGGATGCGCAAAAAAATCTTGCGTGCACGCACACACACACACACACACACACGTGTGACGCACTCGCCACACACACACAGGCTCAAATCACACACATGCCGGCTGTCTGCCACAGATAAAATGAGCACAGATAATGAAGGAGACTAGAGGAAGGAGGAACAGAATTGCTCAGATTTGAGTAGATAAGATGGTTTCATGGCTTTTTTTTTGGAGCTGTCATTCATATGCACGGGCCTGATGAGAAAGTGGAAGGCTGACCGGTCATTTTGCTCTGTTTTTTATTTTGAATGAAATAAAAATGAGGATATTGCACAATAATTTCACTTGCGTCGTCTCACATCTACACTCATCTATACTCGTTAGAAAGAAAAAGACACTAAACTGTGGCAAGTATGTCTTCCCAACTGAAAAATAACCCATTAAAATGACTGAAAGGTTGACAATTATATCACATAATACATAATGAAATAGAATAACATTTGATCCTGATGATTTCATGACATTTTGGCAATTAAATTTCCTCTCAGGAAAAACAACTATTAAGGTCATATAAAACATTGTTATTTACCATTCCATCCAAGGCTTTTTTGTTGTTAAAAACATCTTATTGAATGTTGTTTATTATTTATATCAGCAGAAGCATTTATTCAACAGGTTAAATATGGAAACCTTATCGTGGCTTTTCTTTTAATCCAGATAATACAAACATTTTAAATGTGCAGCTACTGACCTTCTGCATAAACAAGTTAAGTGATGATGTTTATAAGAAAAGCACTACTTATGTCCAAAATAACTGCCACAATGTAATACCACAACTGCATGTTAAATTATACTTTGCGGGTGCTTTATCCTTTTATGTCATTTTCTGTTGTGTTGGCATAGTCGTTCTTGTACAAACAGCTGTGGTCATTGCATCAGCCAACCTTCCTAAATATGGTCAGGTACGGCCTTCTTTTGCCAACTTGGCACAAGATAATTAATGAGTTGTTTTTTTTTTCTGCTATTGCTCACAGCGCCTGTGGTCACTGGGAGACATTTGTATAGAGTACATGTTGACTAAAAAAAACCTGATTCCATTTAATTTGCTCGTGGTATTCCTGGAGGTTTACAATGAGGGCTGCTCTGCTGCTGGTTTTCCTGTACTGTCTGTCTGGGACATCAGCTCTACAAGACACTAAAGGCATTAACCAGGACCAAGTGAGTGGTTCGGCTACCGCGGATATGTGGGATGAGCTGAAAACTCTGAGATTCATGCTGGTGGAGCAAAATGCGGACCTGATGTATGCCAAGGCTGAACTGCAAACCCAGAGACTCAGAATGGCTGATCTAGAGGAAGACTACACAGGTAGTATATTGACGACATATGTGATGTTCAGGTTGGGGGTGCAATGATTATTAATCATTTGGTGAGTGAAATGTCAATAAATGGTTTAAAAAATAAACTCTAGATTGGGCTAAATCCAGGTAATGTTAATTGAATCATTACTTGTGAGAATCAATGCAAATGTAAAGTTAACTCAAAACTTAGATATATATTTAAATTGTTCAGGATCTTATTGGTTTTATAATGTTCAAAATCAACATGGACACTTGTTATCGCCGTAATCTAGATATTACTTTAGTAAATAAACAGAAAATCACCGCTTAAAGTAGCATTCATGTATTAATTAATGTCAATTTGAAATATTTCAGAGATTAAACATAATCTCATAATCGCTAAATCTCATAATCTCTTAGCATGAGCATAGACTCATGCTAATAGTCTACCTAATCTGTAAAATGAAGCCTGTTGCAATTTACTGCTTACACTCTTCCAAACAAACAAACCCTACAACACCAGACAGACACCAGGGAATCACAAAAGTCAATAAAGGTTTCGTGGACTGGGTGTAATGCTGCGTTCACACCAAACGCCGCGCGAATTATTCGCGCGAGTAGATTACGCCAAATCGCCCCAACCGCGTGAGTTGAAATTTTTCAATTTCGGCGAAATATTCGCGTTACGCCCCGGCGCGATAGCCTATCAGCGTTGAGTTGCTTCCCCTGTCATCACTGACTTCCTGCCGTTGTTGAATCAGGAAATAAATACTGTAGCTCTACGATACCTCATATCAATAGAGACCGGACCAAACTATGTGTATAAATGTGTGTGTATAAACCATATGGTACAAACAATGAATAGACGCTGCCGTATTTACGTCTACATGACGTTAGTCTGAGTGTTGGTGGAGCTGCTACAATATTAGCTTAGCCTAGCACCGATCCATCCGCTCCATTGAGAAGACAAGTAGCCTACAAATCGGCATCATTACATAGTTATTTCGGAGTCCTTTTTGTCGGTTTATTGCCATTAAATCAGTTTATTTTGTGTTCATACAGCTGTAGTAAACAGCGACCTGTGGCTTGCTAGACACAGTGAATACAGCTCGATCAAATCCACGGAGCTCCTCTGAACAATATTATGAACCCAGACATGACGGCGTTTAGTTTCCCGGGATATCTGTGACTTCCACAACACGTACTAAGCAGAAATATAGGTTATTTTTTTCATGGTTAATGGCGGACAGTTGAACGGCTTTCAGGGCGATAAGCCACGCCCCCTCTCCGGCGCGTCCAGCGCGATTCGCGCGAATGTACACAAATAGTCCCCGGCGAGACCGGCGGCGCGATTGATGCGAATATGCGGCGCAATGAATTTGCGTTTGGTGTGAACACGGCATAAGTGTAATATGATATTATATCAGTGGCAGTAGATGATGACAAACCAGAAATGTATTTTTAAGAAGAAGTCATAAAATGCTACTTTAAAACAGCCTTGCTTAAAATAACTTCATCCTCAGTCTCTATGGTATTTCAGGAATGAACTCCAGACTGTCAGCCACTGAAAACAATGTGACAGCGGTTACAGAGGAGCTGGAAGCGACTAAGACTGAACAGCAGCTCCAGAAGACAAAACTGGAAGAGGCTGAGAGACTGATTTCTGGTAGGTAAT